TTACTGTTCTCGCGTGATAAACTTCCGTACGCACAAAATGAAGGGATAAGTGATGCACATCATGAACGTTTGCATTAGTCTTTCGTGTTTGCCCTATTCTGGTGTAGATGCCAGACATATAATTCATTTTTACATCTAGTCAAATTTTGGTGTACCGCTTGTTTTCCGTCATTCATGGAGGTCATAGTTGTGATTAGTTTCCCCCTTCTAAGATCGCAGTGCTATTGCAGATTTTCAGTACAAAGCAGCACCGTGTTTTTTATCAAGGAAGAATAATGCCGCAACAATCATCATCATCATCATCATCATCATCGTCATCATCATCATCATCATCATCAATATCATCATCATGATCGACATCATCTTCATCAATATCGTCAGCAACATCTACGTCATCATCTTCTTCCTCATTAAGGTCGATGTCAGCATTATCATCCTCAGCATCATCGTCATAATGGTCATCATGATGTTTATGATCATCATTATCGTTATCATCATTAACGGCAAGATCATATGCATGAAGTTCATCATTATCTTCATCATGTTGCTCCTCAACCTCATCACCATCCTGATCGTGATCTTTATCATGATCGGATTCATTATTGTGGACGTGCTACACGGAGTCTGACTTCACAGATCGCCGGCAAGGCCATTTTGTATGCAACGTCGATGATAATCTGTTAGATTTACAGTGATTGGACTGATTTTAACTACCGGGAAAATGCAGAGAATTTCTATATTTTGCACAGTAATAACAGTTTAACTATGCGTATTTACTATTTAGTGCATTCTGGTCTGATAGTAAGCGACAGCAGCGACGGTAGGTGACCATCAGACATAAGCAAGACCTATCCTATCCGACGGAGCTCATTGAGCTGGATTCGATGCGATAGAGAGTTCATGTTTGATATATTCTCAAATATCCCTCGATTTGGATCTAAGTTGCTAACCCGCTCACTCCATCCAAAATTGGTAAGACTAGGNGGTAATCATCGATTGTCGAAACACTGCTAAACGACGGGTGTCTTCTACCCGCAAATTCACGGTCTCACAGCTGTACAGCAGAATTGGTCGTACAATGGCGTGGTATACGCCACTTTTCAACTGTAGTGAACGTCACGTAGCCGCCACAGCTGGTAAAGTTGTACGACGTTGGTCGAGCCTTGGAAATGCAAGCGGTTATTTCATTTGCCGAGCTACCGTTGTTGGTCACGCACCTACGTAACAAAGAGAAGCAGTCAACTTCAGCTAATTCCTGCCCGTCTAGTTTTGGAGTACATTTCGGCTATATCCAGTCTTGTAGCATCACTTTCCACTTTCAAGGTACAAACCATATACCGACGGAACTTGCAAATCCGTTAAGTGCACTTTGTGCATCCTATTTGGATTTGAACAGCAATCGATGTTGTCACCGTACTCGAAATCGAACAGCTCTTCTCCAGTTGCCCATACAATACCAACATTTTGGAGACCCCTGAGTGTGTTCTTCAGTATTTCTTCTGCGAAGAAATTGAACAGCAATGGCGAAAGAGCACACTCTTGACCAACACCACTGCAAATTACGAATGGCCTAATCAGCTCACCGTAGACCCTTACGCTACCAGAAATATGCGAGTAGTGTGATCTCAGTATGTTCACATACTACTGCGCAATTCTTTGCGAAGAAGCTATTGTTTCACTTACTATGGTTGGCCGACTTCCCATATTGTGTATCAGTAGGAACAGTGTCTGACTGTTCCATGATGCAGCTGCAACTTCCATTACACTAGCTATCATTGCCTACCAGTTCTCGCTGTCTTCCTTGAGGCTCCTCTTAAGTTGACGTCGCAGACACCAACCTCTCGTGCCTTGAAACCAAGAGGTTTGCTTTCTCTCTGTCAGTGCTAATGACTCAGCAGATTTCCAGGGTCTCGAGGTAGCTACCACTTCAAATCCACAAGCAATGATAGGAACAACAAAGCGTCAGTTCTGCATACAATGGGTGGTTAGGATCTGTGAAAACCCTCTCAGCGAATTCCACACAAGAAGGTACGTGATATTCTGAAAGCTCTACAGCTCACTCAATCACAGGATTAGAAGAGACACGACTAATAATGGTTAGACCGCGGCGTAAGACTTTAAAGTCCTGTTTCACTCAGCCAGAAAAAATGACTGGGGAACTGTAGAATAAAATGGGTAACACCCACTGATGAACAAACGTAGAAATAACTGACTGGGATGCACGAAACTGCCTGAGCTATCGGATTTGAAAAATGATAGGCGCCACAGTTTACCAACGCAGTTGTGGATGTGGGTTGACCAATGAAGATTGCCATCTATGGTTACACCAAGATATTTGACAGAGTTCACCTTGGATAAAGGATTGTTATTTATCACTGTAGGGTCTGTCGGAAATGGGGAGCGAACAAAACTAGACAAGCACTCAACACATTTATTGGGGTTCACTGTTAGCCCCGATGAGGAAGAGAATGACTTAATTTGATCGCGATTGTCGGTGAAAGAACTTAGATCAAAGTAAGAATAAATGGGCTGACACAACACGGTGTCATCTGCATATTTCAAACTTCGTGCGGGAGAAACACAAGGAATATCACAAATATAAGTGGAAAATAAGTATGTAAGTAAGTAAGCTGTTCAAAGACTTGGTGATGAAATGAATGAGGGTAGAGACTGCGTCCAAGTTCGGTCTATTAGGCTCGTGAGCAACGTGTAATGGATCAGTGGGAATATTTATAGATTGCTGAAGGCGTTTAAGGATGGCCTTTTCAGTCAATTTCAGAGCTGAAGATGTTAATGCTCTGGGACGAAAACGTTTGGAGAGGATCAACTATTTGGATGCTTTGGGGATTGATATGATTGTGACCGGCCTCCAACAGTCGGGGATAGTAGTAGTGTGAAGAGATTCATTGACAATGGAGGTAATTGCCCCAGCTAGGGAAGCAGCACCAAATTTGAAGAGGGCTGGATGTAAGTCATCTGGGCCTGCAGCAGAAGATGATTTGCAACTTTTCAAAAGTTTTAA